CTGGCCGGTTTTGCTCAGTGGTTAGAGCATCGACCCATGGACGAAAAAGTGATGGGTTCAATTCTGGTCAAGGGCACGTACCTTGGTTGTGGTTTGGTCCCCGGCCCTGGTCGGAGTCACGCGGGAGGCAGCCATTTGATGTCTCTCTCTCTCTCTCTCTCTCCCCCCCCTTTCTCTACCCCTCCCTCCCTCCCACTCTATCTGAAGATAAATGGAAAAATATCCTTACGTAAGGATTTAAAATAAATAAATAAACAAAAATTTTTTTAAAAAGTAAAATCTTCTGTTCTGCAAAAGACTATTAAGAGAATGAAGAGACTGAGAGAAACTTTTTGTAAAACACATATCTGATAAAGTATTGGTATCTAAAATATACAAAGAAGTCTTAAAACTCAACAATAAAACAAACAACCCAATTTTTAAAATGGGAAAATCCTCTAAACAGACACCTCACCAAAGAAGATATAGAGATGGCAAATAAGTATATGAAAAGATTCTCCACATCATATATTATCAGGGATTTGCTAATTATTACAAAAATGAGATACCACTACATATCTATTAAAATGGCTAAAATAGCCCTGGCTGGTTTGGCTCAGCGGTTAGAGCGTCGGCCTGCGGTCCGGAGAGACCCGGGTTTGGTTCCCGCTAAGGGCACGTATCTCAGTTGCAGTTTGTCCCCGGCCCTGGTTGGGTTGTGTGGGTGGCAACCACTTGATGTGTCCCTTTCACGTTGATGTTTCTCTCTCTCTCTCTCTCCCTCCCACTCTATCTAAACAAAATATCGAAAAATGTCCTTGGGGGAGAATAAAAAAAAGAAAAGAAAAATGGTACAACCACTTTAAAAACAGTTTAGCAGTTTGTTACACAATTAAACATATTGTTACCATATGAATCTGTAATTGTGCTTCTTGGTATTTACCCAAGTTAGTCGAATACTTATATTCACACAAAAACCTGCACATGAATGTTTCTAGTAGTTTTATTCATAATTGCTAAAACTTGGAAGCAACCAAGATGCTATTCAACAAATGAATAGATAAGTAATGTATACAAGGAGAACAAGCAGTCATTTTAGTACCATGTGTAACACCAAATTTTGGAAATAGACTAACTGTTCATCAATAAAGGAGTGAGGTAATAAAATGTGGTAATATTTATTAAAAGAATATTATAAGCCACTGTAAGAGAATAAACTAACATACACAGTGACAGATATCAGAAACAAAATACAAAATTAAAAATTCAGGATGCAGCCCAGCTGGTGTGGCTCAGCGGTTGACTGTCAACCCATGCACCAACAGGTCACTGGTTCAATTGCCAGTCAGGGCACATGCCCAGGTTGTGGGCCTGATCCCTAGTGGGGGGCATGCAGGAGGCAGCCTATCGATGTTCTCTCTCATTAATGTTTTTATCTCTCTCTCCTTCTCCCTTCCTCTCTCTCTCTAACATCAATAAAAAAAATAAAAAAAATTTAAAAAAAAAGGAAATCTTACCTTTTAAAAAAAAAAAAGAATTCAAGATGAAGAAGTATACATATAAGTTTATACTATTTAAACAAGCCAAGTATGCACACACAACCAAGGTACATATTATTCCTGGGCATGTGCATGTAAAACTGTGTGTGCTACCCTGGCCAGTTTGGCTCAGCGGTTAGAGCGTCGGCCTGTGATCCAGAGAGACCCAGGTTTGGTTCTCGCTAAGGGCACGTACCTCGGTTGCAGTTTGTCCCCAGCCCCAGTTGGGTCGTGCGGGTGGCAACCACTTGATGTGTCCCTTTCACGTCGATGTTTCTCTCTCTCTCTCCCCCTCCTACTCTATCTGAACAAAAAAATGGAAAAAATGTCCTCGGGTGAGAATAAAAAAAAAAAAACTGTGTGTGCTGAAAATATTGTAAAGATATACAATAAATAAACTCAGAATATTGGTTGTCTCTGAGAAAAGAAGAGAAAAATGGAACTGATGGAAGGCAAAGAGAATTTCAAACGTATCTACAATATTTTATTTATTGAAATTGAAAAAGTCTTGAAGTAACTATGATGAAATGCCAACAGTTGTCAATTTGAGGTAATGGGGTAACAAAAGTTTGGGATAACAAAAGAAATGTTTGCTATATTATCTTTGTACTTTAGTTTCTTATTATTGCTATTATTAAATACACACTCAAAGACACAAACTCAAATTGGATTTATCCCAGAATAAAATATTGTGTATACAAGAAAAACCATGAATATAAAACATGACAAGAGCAACTAACAGAAAGTCAAAATTATCTCAATAAATTAAAAAATTTGTTTGATAATAGTTACAAATTATTCTAGAGAAGCATTATTTAAGAATAATAACAGGAATGAGGGACACCTGTAATATTATAAAAAAAAAAAAGAATTAATAACATGAAAATGTTTTAACTTGAGAAAGCCTTGTGGCAACATCCATCTCTACACCCACCCTCCCAGCCTCCCCCCCAACTTCCATCCCTCCCCCCTTCCCCCGCCTATTCCCCCAACTCCTCACCCAGAGACTAGGTGCAAATCACCCTGAAGCTGTTAAAACAGCAGTGAGGAGGGGAAAGAAGAACACCGTTGTATCTCATCACTGCTTAAGAAAAGCCAGCAGTCAGGATTTAATTTCAAGATGCTTGCCATAAATCATGGCAAAGCCATAACAGAGAAAAGAGGAGACTTCAGAGTTAATCCGTACCAGGATATCTAGCAGAAGAATTTTTTTAAAAACTTAGACAGGAAGGTTTATAAGGCAGAAACCCCTCACCCCACTTGCTCTTCAGATTAGCTGAGAGCCCATCTGCAATTCATAAAGCCAGATGTATAGATTTGCTAGCCTTGCTTCTTTAATAAATGTGCATGCTTTACTTTTTAAAAATAAAGTCACTGTCTGGTCAGTGTGGCTCAGTGGTTGAGCATCGACCCATGCATCAAGAGGTCACCAGTTCTATTCTGGGTCAGGACACATGTTCAGGTTGGGGGCCAAATCCCCAATGGGGGTCATGCAGGAGGTGGCTAATTGATGTTCTCTCTCATTGATGTTTATATCTCTCTCTCCCTCTCCCTTCCTGTCTCTCTAAAAATCAACAAAGAAAAAAAATTAAAATAAAAAATAAAAGCACATTCAGTGATTTAATTAATATTGGTAAACATGAAATCCACATACAAACATCATCTGGACAGAGCTTCTCGAGAAATCAATATATCTTAAGTTTCTCCAGAAAGTGAAAGTATGTATATTATTTAAATTTAAAAAAAACTGACAAAGAACTGAACAGTTATTCCTTCCCGCCAAGGCTCTAGCTCCTCCCTGTCCCATTTGAACGTTTATTCTCCAGATCTTTGATCAGTCTACTCTGTAACTCCTTTATGCCACTGTCTGTCTCAGAACTCTGCCGCGTTGTCTGGCTGGAATCCTGCATCTATGGCCTGAGCAAGAAGGTGAGTCCAACCTACAGACCATTTCTCAGTCTATTCCACTTATTTAAGAAATATGTTGCCTGTGTCCACATCAGCCTTGCTTGCCTAAATATACAGGCAAGATATATATCTGGAAGGGTCACAAGGTGGATTTTCATCTTATAGGTTTTCTTTTAATCTCTTTCTGAGACCATCCTTTCTGTTGAACAAGCAAGGTTTCGGTCTTTCCAGACAGTCTGTACTTACCTCAGGAATTAGAAATTCCTCAGGATTGGGATGTTAAAGAGAAAACTCTAGATTTCTTTTCAGGTGTGTGCAGCTTTTGACAGAGGGCTACAGTAACCTTCAGGAGGAAGAGCTGGCTCTGAAATCTGAGCTCCCTGGAGGAAAACAATTAAGCCCAGAAAAAATGTTAGGTTTCAATTTCACTGAAAAGCGAAACTACACTGTTTTACATTGGTTTTTCTGAAAACTAAGTGAGATATGCTCCTGTCTTTCAGGTTTCGATTTCCCAGAAGACTAAATTAGAATGCTCTCACCTCTTAATGTCTGCCCTCTAGCCTCAGGAAGGAAAAAACCTATTACCCGTCTATATGTAATATCTTGGCATTTTAACAAGTTGGTGAAAGGCTAGTTAGTTCTGGCTTGACTAAAGGAACTGTATTATCACAAGGAGTACGTTAAACTTCTTGGAGAATAAGGCTACAGAAAATCCTATTTGGATACCACCAAACTATTATTAAGGATTACTACATCTTGGGGAGTGAAATTGGAAAGGAAGAAGATGGACAAGGAAGGAGGAATTGTTATTTCGTACTGTAACCCAAGTCACTCAAGAAATATTTAATGCAATAAGGAAAAGAAAGCAAAGGTAGAGCCAGATAAAGAATTAAGTACAGCCCGGCCGGCCGTGTGGCGCCTATATAATCCCAACAGTTGCAGTTGAAATTTCTGCTGGATTTCCTGTTACTGATTTGGTAGCTAAAACTGTTGCTATTGTTCTAAGTTTATTCTATTTACCACTTTGATCTGCAACTTCCCTCCACAGCCCACACAAATCACAGTTCACTTGAGCTCTTGTTTGGTTTCTTTCCAGAATTATTACAGTATGGCTTTAGCAATCATTTTTAACTTTGAGGAAAGGTGTTGTGTACTAGAGAGAATTTAGTTTGAGACGTCATGAACCAGTGTTTTGTGCCGGTCTCACCCTGTCAATAACCAGTGTGGTTCTTGTTATGACTGCAAGACACCTTTCAGCAATAAACATCAGATAACTGAAAAGCATAAAGGTTTATTACTTACAGGACCCGGAAGTTACACAGCAACTTTCGGTTACACAGTGGTTGCGGGTAGAGAGAGAAAGAGAGTGCACTGGTCTGGGGTTCTGCTTTTATAGGAGTTGAAGGTTGGAGCCTGAGGTTTCATGAACTCACTCTTGATTGGTGGATTTAAAACATAAGAGCGGGAAATTTAGAGGGCAGGGAAAATTAAAGAAACAGCAGCCCAGTCAGTTATGAAATCAACCAAGATCTCTATAACAAAGGAGTCTCAGTAGGAGGTGGCCTAGCTCTTTACCTTATCGGTTTTTTTTGGCTAGTAATGTGTTTATCCAAGACAGTCGTCTTTGAAGTGGATACCTGGCATTCAAAGCTTAAGTGAGTCATTGCACTACAAAAAGACATTACCACCAAGTTCCCAATCTTTCAGCACACTTTTTAAAAAATGCAGATTCCAGCCCGGCTGGTGTGACTCAGTAGTTGAGCGTCCACCCAAACACCAAGAGGTCACCAGTTGTTTTTTTTTAATCCTCACCCAAGGACATTTTTGCATTTATCTTCGGATTGAGTGGGAGGAAGGGGTGGGGGGAGGGAGAAACATCCCTTGAGAGAGACACATCGAGTGGTTGCCACCCCAACCGAGGCGGGGACAAACTGCAACCTAGGTACTGCCCTTAGTGGGAACCAAACCAGGACTCTCTTGTCACTCTAACCGCTGAGCCAAACCAACCAGGGCAAGGTCACCAGTTTGATTCCTGGTCAGGACACATACTCAGGATGGGGGCCAAATCCCCAGTGAGGGGCATGCAGGAGGCGGCCAATCGATGTTCTCTCTCATCGATGTTTCTATCTCACTCTCTCTCCCTCCCCCTCTCTCTAAAATCAATAAAGAAAAAATAAAATAAAATAAAAATAAAAATGCAGATTTTAGGGCTCCTCCCCACACATGCAGAATCAAACAGTGAATCTATATTTTTCAGTCCCAGGTGATCAGTTTGCTAATAGCATTTACAAATGTATTGATTCTATGGTCAGCCAGGTCCAGGAACTACTGGACTCCCATTTCCTGTCTCCCATTATTACAATCTCCAGGCTCACTATTCCTGGTGGACTGTCACAGAAATTACTAGTATTATAGACTGCTGGACAAATCCAATTATCACTTCGTGACACTGCCTACATGTGTCAAACAGAGTAATCATCTGATTGCACAAAGGTATTACAACCTACAAATTACTCCCAAAAGACACAGCATTTTTTTTTTATCCTCACCCGAGGACATTTTTCCATTTTTTTGTTCAGATAGAGTGGGAGGGAGGGAGGGAAAGAGAGAGAGAGAGAGAGAGAGAGAGAGAGAGAGAGAGAGATCGACATAAAAGGGACACATCGAGTGGCTGCCACCCACAGGACCAACCAGGACCAGGGACAAACTGCAACCGAGGTACGTGCCCTTAGTGGGAATCGAACCCGGGTCTCTCTGGACCGCAGGCCGATGCTCTAACCGCTGAGCAAAACCGGCCAGGGCAAGACACAGCATTAAAAAAAAAAAATCATACTTGCCTTGGTTGTAGACACTTCGGTTTGTGCCAAGCACATGAAGTAAAACACTTAAGCTTCATAACAACCGTCTGAGAGATATCATATTATTTCCATTTGTTGGGGCCTGGAAAAGTGGCCTGTTGTTGATAGAGGCCGTGGTTCAGGATATGACCCAGAATGGGCTGCGCAGGCACAGACGATGTTACTGTTATATAACGCAGTTAAAGCTTAGGACGCATGCGCCACGCACTGTCCAGTGCAAAGTATCCCACCACAGGAGTCTATAAAAGCTGCTGCTGCTGCTGCTGCTGCTCCTAGGAATAAAGATGCTGCTGCCCTTTGTTGATCTCTCCTGATGTCAGCTCCGCGTGCTTTCTCTACCTTGGGTATCTCACTGCTGAAACCCCTTTGCAACCGCCATCTCTGACACAATTTTACATAAGAAAGATCAGTTAACTTGCCCAAATCACATCTGGGTACTTGAGCTCATTTTTGAACCTTGCCACAGCTAACTTGAAACCCACACAAGTACACAGGTGCCCCAAAACTCAGTTGTATGGAAGCTGGTCATTCCTAGGTAAGACTCTAAGTAGTGGGTGGATGTTCTTCCTGTATCACAATCATGGGCCACACCCATTTCAACATTCAATACAATATTTCCCACACGATCTCTAAATTAGTCTCACACACCTGTCCTGGAGCTGAGACGGGGCCCAGGGATCTGGAATCTTAACAATCACACCGGGTGATTCTTATCGGGTACATATGGAAAACTGTTTAGGTAGCTTTGAGCAAGAAAGGTTTGCTCTGCAGACCTCTTGAGTTGTGCTCCTGGCAACTGCCACTCTCCAGGGAGGGCACAATTGCCAAAGCCAGGAAAGGAGAATGCTTCCGTCCAAATTATGATACTCAGTTGCTGAGTTCCCTAAAACATCTCCATTCTACCTCCATTCTACTCCCATATTTCATGGAGTTTGGTGAAGAGCTTTGGTGTCCTTGACTTGCCCGTCACCATCTTCCTCTCTGTAGGTGTAAATTCAGGTAGACTGGGCCAAGAAACCAAATGAAATATGAGGCTCTTCTTCACTGAGAGTTGCCCCATTCTAGGCTGCAGTTTGGAAAATGTCTCACATATTGTATGGCAGATTGAAGAGTGGGAATGGCTTCCAGAAAAATCAACCCAAACAGGATACAAAACGGAATGTATACAATGATTACAACTCTGCTAAAATATATCTGTCATTGGACCAACACCAGATATGAATAAGCAAAAATGACAAACAACTGTGTGGCATGGTCGTAATAATGGGGATGAGTTTTCTTTTGTCCTCTATTTTTAAATCTGTGATGTCATTAGCTAGGGTGGGGCAGAATTAGGTTTACAGTTGTGAGTAGGTAAAACAGCGTTTATTTCTGTATTACTATTTATTAATTATTGTATTCTTTTCTATATGAACAACTGCAAACCCACTTTTGCCTCACCCTGTATAAACCTAGAAATGAAAGGTATATTTTTTGAGTTTCTTAGTGTAGAAAATGCTTTTCTCTAAACACTTTTGTTGTGTGTTATTTTAATTATAATGTTGGTTTTGTAGAAACATTTTAGAAGCTAAGAATAACCATGCTGCTTAATATCACAAATATGCTATGTATACTCAAATCTGATCTCAATATCAGATCACAGATCATGGACACTCATGTCTTTGGTTTTGATGTACAGGAAAGCAGAAGAGCATAGAGACTAAAATGGACTTTGGAGTTAGGCAGACATGGGTTCAGAACATTCTAGTTCTCTGATCTTAGGCAAGGCATTTATTTACCAGCTGGGCTAGGAACCCAAGTTCTAAAGGGGAAAATAAGCCTGGGTGGTGTTGCTCAGTGGTTTGGGCATTGGCCCATGGACCAGGAGGTCACCGGTTTGATTCCCAGTCAGGGCACATGCCCAGGTTGTGGGCTCCATCCCCAGTGGGGTGTGCAGGAGGTAGCCAATCAAGGTTCTCTCTCATCAATGTTTCTATCTCTCTCTCCCTTTCCCTCTCCCTCTCTCTCTAAAATCAATAGAGGGGAAAAAAAATTTTTTAATAAAGGAGAAAATGAACTTGCCTGAAGTCATCCAGCCAATTAAGAATAGAGTTTGAATTCAAAGCCAAGGTCCATTTGACCCTAGAATTAATGTTCTTACCACCACATTATCCTACTTTACATGGGCCTGCTAAACATAATTCAAAGGTTGCTAGGAGGATAAAAGTTGTAATGTATTTAAAACATTTTGCACAGTGTCTGACACATAGTAAGCATTTACTACCTGTTTGTTATTATCTTACACTGTATGTTAGCGGATACAGGAATAGCGCTGTAGAGGTATTTTGATGGAATAGCCATTGACTGATGGGTTTATTTGTCATATCTGGGTGTCTTCGAAGGGATCCCCTGCTTGTCTCCCTGCCCCCCTCTGACACATGTCTCTTCCAAGCTGTATATTTGGGCAAGGAAGATAGCCCTCCTTGAATAAAGCAGGAGGGTGGGCTTTAACTGCAAATGGCCTGAGGTCATTCTGAAGTAGTAAACAATAAAAAGAGAAAGTACGCAATAGCCTTGTCCTAAGACATTTTAGGCTGAGAATGAGAGAAGAAACAAAATTAAAAACTGATCCCATTTATTTCAAAATCATGTTGCCTCCGTCAACTAAAGATATGGAACAAGAGGCATCAGCCTTAGAGGGGGGCAGGGAGACAGCCTTAGAGGGAATCTAGTAGTTCATGTCAGGAATATGAACTGAGTCTGTTTCTGAGATTTGCAGAAGAAATTCAAAGTATTCTAGAATGATCAGAAAGCTCAGAAAGAAACCACAGATATTAAGTATAGGAAACAGTAGTCAGCTGTTTTCACTTACAATGAAGGTCAATGCTTTCTAGAGATGAGAATTTCTAGAGACAGAGAATCCAGATAGCAAACAATATTCTCAGCTCTGGAGAGTATTTTCAGAGTATTATACACTCTCAAAGTTGAGACAACCACATCAAAGATTCTATTTATTTATTTATTTATTTATTATGTATTTTTATTTTAGAGAGAAAGGAAGGGAGATGGGGAGAGAGAGAGAGAGAAACATCGATGTGAGAGAGAAACACTGATCAGCTTCTCAGCTGCCTCCCACACACACCCTGAAACCCACCCTAACATGCACCCGACTGGGGATGGAGCTTACAACCTAGGTATGTGCCCTGTTGTGCTTATTTTAAGTTGAAACTTTTTTTTTCTCACCCGAGGACATTTTTTGATATTTTGTTCAGATAGAGTGGGAGGGGGAGAGAGAGAGAGAGAGAGAAACATTGACGTGAAAGGGACACATCGAGTGGTTGCCACCCGCATCATGACCCAACCAGGGCCAGGGACAAACTGCAAGCAAGGCATGTGCCCTTAGCATGAACCGAACCCGGGTCTCTCCAGACTGCAGGCCAATGCTATAACCATTGAGCCAAACCGGCCAGGGCGAAACTTCTTAAAAATAAGTTCATGTTTGACTTCCCTAAACTTTGAGGAAACGAGCAGCTCAGTTTCATAGAAAATCTAGTTTATTTCTATACTTCCTCTTCTTTTTTTAAATGGGTTTCTCCATGCCACAGTTTCTCTTTTAAAAAAAGTGCTGTTGATGGTCAGAGGCATCCTTTCTTCTTTATGAGATAGTACCCTACGTAAATTTTAGGTGACCAGAGTTTTTTTCCTGCATAAGGTTAGATTACATAATTCATGTTTTCATCTGTAATTCTGCAAGTTAAGTTCTTCTGAGGTTCTGGGTTAGGGTGATGAGCCTTGGTTTTACATGCAGAGACAGCATGTTCTCAGCCACCTGTTTCTGTGATTCCAATGTCTCTTTTTTTGCCATCAGAACCTGCTGTCAGCATTTTGTTCTCTTATTTAAGGCAAGAAATATGTATGTTGTCAGGAACAATGATTAGGGTTTTTCTATGCAATTCCCATCAGAACCAATATAAATAAAGTGAATCTTTTATCTAGGCCACCCTTTTGATTGAGTAATCTCATCTCTGGAGATTTATAAATATATCAAAGAAAGAAGAGGTTGTGTGCCTGAGTATGGGCCTTGTTTAATTTTAATGGTGTAAAATTGCTAGTGACCCAAATTAATAGAGGGATGATTATTGAAATGTTGTATAATCTAGCTGGGATATTATGCAATTATTAACAATGATCATTTTGAAGACTATGCTCCAGCATGAGGAAATGCCTACATTAGTCAGTTATGGCTGAAAAACAAATCATCTTGAAATCTCAGTCATCCAATAATTAGCATTTATTTCTCATTTATACATCACAAATCAGCTGGGTTTGGGCTATCTAGTTGGGATCAATCAAACTTGGTTCCCAGTCATGAGTTGAAGTCAAGACTGCTTCACATCTCTCAGTTCTCGGTGACTGGTGGGCCGCCCAAGGCATAGTTTTCACATGGCAGTAGCAGAAGCCCATGAGAGCAGACCTAATGCTGAAATTTGTAAAGCCTCTGCATACATCACAACTACTGTACTAACGTTTCATTGGCCAAATAAAGCCACCTGGCCAAGCCCACATCAAGGGGGTGGGAAAATATACTCCAGCTCTAATGTTAGGAACTACAAAGGGTCTATAGGTATAGGGCGAGATGAAGTATTGGGGACAATAACACAGACTCAAACAAAGAGGCTAAACAGAAAAAAAACACATGCACAGGATATAAAGTTGATTGTACAACTTGATCATAACTATGTAAATGTATTTTTGCATATCAACAACAAATAGAAATAAGTAAGCAAAAATGAAAAAAAATCTATGCCTAGATAACAAGATAATAAGAACTTTTTCTTTTGCCTTTCTCCATTTCTCAAACTCAACACAATAAAATTGTATTACCCTTTTTTAATTTTTAAAATGTATTTATTTTTATTATTATTGATGTTAGAGAGAGAGAGAGAGAGACAGAAAGAAACATTGATTTGTTGTCCTGCTTATTTATGCATTCATTGGTTGATTTTTGTATGTGCCCTGACCAGAGACTGAATCCAAAACCTTGGTATATCACAATGACACTCCAACCAATTGAGCTACCTGGCCAGGGCTTGTTGTAGAAGCTTCTCATTAGCAGGCAAGTCAGTTCATCAAATTAATTATTTTATCCATTATATTAAGGCTCTGTAGGAAAAATTTAGAATTCTAAGCACAAGAAGGTAGTCAATTATTCTTAGTCCCCACCAGTTCTTATTCTCAAACTCAAACCTAATGAACTTCCATCAACATGGATCTTTAACTTTGCCTGTTGCCTAAAAAACAGTTTAAATTCCTTTATTCTCTTATTTTTTACTATTGCAATGTTGATTATTCTTCATATTGACTTCTTTGAAGTCTCCAAAATTAGATATTCATTTCATTGAATAGAAACATCTTCTGAAAGTGGAAAATTCATTCAACAAATAATTACGAGCACCTTCCACGTCTGAGGTACCACACTAGTTGCTTTTGGGGAAATAAAGATGTATAAGTGACCATCCTACTCTCAAGGATCTCACAGTCTAATGGGAAGAGAAGAGTATACACATCTACTTGAAAACAAAAAGAACAGACTAGGAGATGAGTTCAATGGTTCTGAACCCTGGTGGCATATATTAGAATCATCTAGACAACTTTTAATAAATACCAATGTCCAAGCCCATTCCCAGAGATGCTGATCTAATTGGTCTGGTGTCTGGCTGAATCACTGGTATTTTTTAAAGCTCCCCAGATGATAATAATGAGCAGCCAGGGTTGAGAATCACTGGGTTAGGCCGCCTTCTTTAAGCCTGATTGAGCTGTTTTAGTAGACTGAGAAGTGGCAAGGACTCTCAGATTCAATATTTAAAACAATTCTTTTTAAAATAAATTATTTTATCAAAAATTATATAACGCAAGCATATAGTTTAAAGCATTAAATGGTACTGAGGCTTATGACTAAAATACTGCATAGCATTTCCCTGTTCTCTTTACTCCCCAACCCCCCTCCACTCTTGACTCTTTAAATTATTTTTAGAGAATTCACACACCTCCCATTATCCAATTGTTAACACACTGGTATCTTTTGCATCATCAAAAACTAATTAATTGCTGAATTTCATTTTCTCCCACCTAAAAGTACCCTGAAATCCCCAAGGAAAGGTAAGAAGGAGGAAACATCAAGTAATTGGTGTGGCAAGGAGGTAAGAGGAAGGTTCTTTTGGACAGGACAGTACAGTTCAGACTGGCCCGTCTGGTGGCCTGAACAGCTCAGAAAGGCAGCTAAGAGCACTTTTCCAGCCTTGCCTACTCTCCTACCTCTTGGAAAGTGATGGGCTTTATCTGAAATTATGGCCAAAAGAATATTTCCACACTTTCTCCTGCACTGAGGCCTCCCCAGCATCTTTATTAAGTTGTCCTAACCCTTTCTAGAAGTTAAAAATAGTCTGGAAATAGGAATATTCCCAAAGTAATTTTTAAAACCTTACAGACAGGAAAACGAACTTGCATTGAAGAGCACAGGACTGGCTTTGTTATTTTGGGAGCTGACCGAAGGGACCTTTAATTTTATTTTTTTAATTCTCACCAGAGGACCTTTTTTTTTGCACTTATCTTCAGATAGAGCGGGAGGGAGAGAGGGATGAAGAGGGAGAGAGAGAAACATCGACATGAGAGAGACACATCGAGTGCTTGCCACCCACACAACCCCAACCAGGCCCGAGGACAAACTGCAACTGAGGTAAGTGCCTTTAGCGGGAACCGAATCCAGCTCTCTCTGGACCACAGGCCAACGCTCTAACAGCTGAGCCAGGGTTAATTTTATTTCTAATGTATTGCACATACATTTGAAAGAAGACGTGATAGGAAGGTATTACATAGATTCCACTATGCCAACAACTACTTCTCTGGTATAGTTTAGAATGAGTTGGGTGTCATCGTTAAAAAATATTTAAGCCACAGAATGGCTAAAAAAGAAAGGACCAAGTTTAATTAACTTAGGGGTATGATGAAAGTTGAATTGAGGAGGTGGGCACTTGAATAAGGGCTTGATTGACAAGTAAGGATTTCAGTAGGCAGAGGGAGCAGAAAAGGTTTTAAAGGCTTAGAACATGGCACAGGCAGGTACAGCCAGGAGCCAGGAATGTAAATGGGCACCATAAGTGGCAGAGTTGCCATCCAGGCTCCCCATAAACTCTTAGAGTTGAATTATAAAAATCACACCAGACCTGGCCAGTGTGGCTCAGTTGGTTGGGTGTCACCTCGTGCACCAAAAGGTTGCTGATTAGATTCCGCAGCTGATAGATGTTACGCTTTCACATCGATGTTTCTCTCCCTCTCCCTCTTCTCTCTCTAAAAGTCAATAAATTATTCTTTTAAAACAAAAATTATAATGGAAGACTTTAGGAATGTGGAAAGACCCCTTATAGACAGACGACTTCCCAGGCCAGCAGCAGGGTGTAAGCAGTTTCTAGTCTAGATGAAAGTATTAACATGTAGAAAATGAATGTGAGTAAAGCATTGTTATGTGTTAGGAATGAGGGGAAAGTTGGTTGTCCACCTGGAAACTTTAGAAAGTCAGAAAGAAAGAAAAAAGTCATCTGAGGCAGAGAATATAGAACTAGTCATTCTTAGCATTCTAAATTTACTTTCTTTTGTAAATCTGACCTGTCTAGTCCTTGAGGAAATTTCCCTATTTTAGAGGTGGTTGAACTAGTCTAACAAGCCTGAAGGCTTCATACATTTGGATCATATTACCAGGTCCCCTTGCTGCAAAGCTATGCTAATGTAATCTGTCTCCCTGTTACTATTGCGTGTACTGATTAGCAATAGCATCTGGCCGGCTTATGACTATAATCTTCATTGTAACTTGACAGAGTGGCATTTCCAGTTATGTGCTGGTCTTTCATGAGCTTGATTAGTGTAAAGCCATCCCCAAGAAACTGATCCAAACTTGGTGCAAAGAGGAAATCAAGTTCTGAGCCTATAAAGCTTGAGACCCATAGCCAGTGTGAGGTGCCAACCAAGGTTCTGCCCTGAGACACCCAGTCAAAGTAAGTAGCCTGGAGGGTACCCTACCTTCCACCCCCAAAACAGGCCTGCAAGGCTGGGTGCATTAGAAACACTGGGGGATGGAGGTATAATAAAGGTGTGTTAAGAGAGTAATCGGGTGTATCATGGAAAGCCTTGAAAACCGGTTTGGTTTCAACACTGCAGGGACTCACTGAAGATACATTAGCAGGGAATGTCACAAAATCGGTTGAGGAGAACATCTCCGGTTCACAAGAAAGCTGGATTGGCGACCAATTATAAGTCCGTTGTAATTGTACACGGAGGAGATGAAGTGGACTGGGAAAAGGACGATGACATTGCAAATACAGTGGCAGGGTCAGTCCCAAGAGACAATGCCGTCGCCCTCTGCCATACTGACTGTGCCTTGATCTCTTCATTTGTAATATGTGAAAAGGAGTAACTGCCACCTGCCCGGGAGAAGGGACTCTGCTCCCTCTAGCTTCCTGTATTATTTGAAATAATTGTTCAGAAAACTGTCCTCTTTTCATAAAGCAGGTAGAGGTGTTTAATGGCTCTTGAGGCAAAGCAGAGCTTATGAGTTTCCTCTGACAGGGTGCATTCTGGACTGAGCCCAAACACAATATTCCTCTCCAGGCCTGAAAACTGCTCAATGCTGTCTAAAATGATGCGGCTACCCAAAACACCAGAGGCCTGGCTGAACACAGCTTCTGTTGCTCTGTGGGTCTCAGTTAATTCCATTGCTTTTAGCAGTGCAAGCTCATAGCGTCCTCTGTCTTCCCCTTTTCTGCACAGAATTGCTATATCTTTGGGCAGATAGCCACATTGGAATAGGTTGTGACATCTTTCTGCCACATATGTTGCAATTTGTTCTATTGTCAGGTCAGTCTTTGTCTCACACACCCCGCCCGGGAGAGCCTGAGCATGCATGGTTTCCTCATAGACAGCTTCCCTAAACAATGCCAATGTGTCTGGGAAAATGTTGGAAGGAGGATTTTCTTTGATCTTCTTCATTTCTTGTTTCATGACCTCTGCTATTTCCAGAGAACAGTGGATCCCTTTGGTGATTGTTTTACGAGGAAACTGAGCAGATGAAGGGGGAAGGCCACTGACATCAGCATGATGGACTTGGAGAGGGTCCAGAAAAAGCCAGAGAACCCCGTGGTGAGGGTTTTTCTTTCCAGCTCCCCTCACCTTTGGATGTGTGATACTTTTAGCCTTCTCATACCAATCGCCATACATACTGCAGAAATTCTCAGTCTCATCCATCACTATGTGTTTAATCTTTAGGAACTCCCCTTGCATGAAGGTTTTCCGGGTCATAGCTTGGCAGGTGGTTTGTTGGCTGTAAGGATAAAAGACAGAATAGGGTTTCAGGGAACACTATGCACTCATTACTCTCTGGATTGGAATCAGAGGCTAGTTCTCATCTGGAGGCTTATTCACTGATTCAATCATGTACCAAATACTACAAAACTGCTCTACTTACAAGTTACCTGACAGAGAGAATACATAATTGTAAACCCTACTCTTCAGGGTCATCTAGTTAAATCTGCATGTGAAACTTCTGAAATAAACCCATGTAGGAGACTTTATTATTTCTATTAGTAATCCATTTCTGCTGCTTGACAATCCCTGAAGACAAGCTCCTTACACCTAAAGGAAATCTCAAAAGTAATTTACATTTCTTTACTTTCTGTTCTTTTTTAGAGCTAGAGAACATCACCTAGAGGCCTATCATAATTTTTATATGAAAAAGAAGTATGGGTAAATACAAATTCTTCTAAAGCAAATCCTATTACCTCACTTACTTGTAGTACAAAACCAGAAGCCTCTTTAGATTTTGCTAAGGAAAACATTACGAGATTGCTGAGTTCCATGACATGCCAAGTAGGGTAACAAATCTACAGGGCTATGACCCTGTTTACTTTGTTCAATTTTCCTTTACAGTATGTTTAGTGTATCAGAAGAGGAGGAACAAACTAGAAGAGGCAAGAAATAACCAAGTTTGGTTGTTGCCTCCTCTAAATTGGATCTATAGATATCCTGATTGTACATATGCAGTCCCTGGGGCTTAACTTCAGTGCTTTGGATTATAGTCATTCATGTTCTTCTCTTCCAATTTGTGTAGACTTCTTAAAGAAAAGCACTGATTCTTAGCCATTCTCTTTATCCTCACATTAGGGTTCAATATATACTTGTTGAATTGAATTTGCCTTTTGACTGGAGTATTTTTGGGGAGAGGTACATGCCACTAGCAGGAACCGAACCCGGGACTCTCTGGTCCACAGGCCAATGTTCCAACCGCTGAGCCAAACCAGCCAGGGCAACTGGAGTATTTTTAAACTTACCTATAAAGCATAATAAAGAACTTAACCCATGTCCAGCCGGCGTGGCTCAGTGGTTGAGGGTCAACCCATGTACCAAGAGGTTACCGGTTCAATTCCCAGTCAGGGCACATGCCCAGGTTGTGGGCCAAATCCCCAGTGGGGAGCATGTAGGGGGAGGCCAGTTGATGTTCTCTCTCATCGAAGTTTCTATATTTCTCTCTCTCTCTAAAATCAATAAAGAAATGTTTTTTTAAAAAAGAACTTAACCCATAGCACAATTTACAATATCTTTCATAATATGGCATCTGCCTCCTTTCCAACTTTATCACCTACCTCATACCCATACCACCACCACCACCCCCAATGGCTCTAATCAGACTTTCCCTTCTGATCACTAAGCATCTCCATGCCTTTGCACCTGCCGTGCCCTTTGCCTAAAAAGCCCTCATTTTATTCACTTTTCCTACTAGCTTCTTAAGAGTGTGCCCAAGGATCTTCTTTGCTGGGGAGTATCTGCTGACCAACCTTCAGCCAAGTTAAGATAAGCATGTCTTTATCATCATACTAATTATACAATATTCACATTGCTTATTTTCTTTTTTGTTTGCCCTCATTTGCTGAATTATAAAGCAACCAACTTCTGTTACTAAATTGAAAGCTAAAGATTTGAATCAGAAGCAAATTTGCATGTCTTTTCTAAAATGATCTATTCAGAACAAGTCAAACACATGAAAATATTTTATAAACAAAATCAAGTGGCATTTAAATTCAAGTTTCTATTAGGTAGAATGTCTCATTAAGTAAAATACCCGTGACTTTAAAGTATTAAGCATCAAGTAAATGTTTACTTAAAGCAAGATAGGTTTGTTTATACTTTTCTTAAATTTAAGGCCACAGATTGTGAAAAAAATGTTTCTAGTTATATAAATTTAAAGTTATACTTGGCTAATTGATAATGAGATATTGAAGCCTGAAAATAGCAAAGTATTTGTTACCAGATCACTTGGAAATGTTTGGGCTCTGGCACTGATGCAGCAGAGGCACTACAAACTCCTCAGTAACACAAATTACTTTTGTGATCCTGTTGAAAAGACTGACTAAATACATGTATTGTGATTAGTCAGTGAAACACTCACGCCACGTAATTCTTTAGGGCGTCATGTTCGCAGACATAGAGAATCTCTTTTGGTTTGCAGTGGAATAGGTCCTTGATTTTCTCCATGATCTTCATGGCGAGGGCTGTCTTCCTGGTTCCTGGAAAGCAGTGGATGAACAATTCTTGCGTCTCCTGAAGGCTCTCTGAAAGCATCTCACACTGCTCCTCTATGAGCAAGTTGAAGAATTCACAGCCCAGCTGGTCACTCAGAAGAGATCGAGAGCACAGCAAGATGACCACGACAAGGGCCTGCAACAGGTCTTCCATTTCCTCCTCATCAGCAAGCTTGTAGGATTGGGGGTAGTGCACAGGGACTTCACAGGGTCTATACTGTGTGTTAGGCAGGTGCATCAGTCTTGGAATGACACACACTCTCCCTGTGTAACCACCAACAGTTCCCAGTTTCTGCTTTAACTGATGAGCGGTGTTTCGGGCATACTCGGGCCCTTCAGTGGCACTGGAGTGTATTAAGATTGTATAGAGTACCAGGGGGCTGTTAACTGCTATTAGGAGAGCATCACACAAGACATTCTGCTCTTTCCTTAAGCCAATATCACTAGCCCAGCTTCTAGAAAATATCACAATCCCCTGAGAATAAGGACGTATCTGCATTTTCATTAATTCCTCTAGTTCCTTGTAATCTGAGAACAGCTTCTTACAGAGGGATTCTGGTTTAAATTGTATCTCTTCCCGTGTCACTGAAAATTCAAGGAATAGGAAGTTACTAAAATGTATAAAAGCATATTATAAGTATTCCTGCAACACTGTAGAAAGAAGTGAGACTAGGCGTTCAACTATAGGTTTCCTCATCTGCAAAGAAAGCACCTCCCCTTCACAGGCCAGGGCAATTCTCATACAGGAGAGGGCAATCTGGGAGGAGTCTTCACAGAACAGCCCTAGCACTGTCTCCTCAACTCCAATGGTCCACTACTGCTAGGAAGTAACTCCTTCCTATTAAGGGTTTTTGTGTGTGAACCTGATGCTTAGGGAGAACTAAGAACTTTCCTTTAAAACAATGATTCTAGCCCACTCAGTATGGCTCAGTGGATTGAGCATTGCCCATGGACTGAGAGGTCCCAGTTTGATTCCTGGTCGGGGCAAATGCCTGGATTGTGGGCTCGATTCCCCATAGGGGGCATGCAGGAGGCAGCAGATCAAATGTTTCTCTCTCACGTCAATGTTTCTATCTCTAACAAATCAGTAAAAAATATATTTTTTTAAAAAGTAATAAATAAAACAATGATTCTAACAGGTGGCAATTTTGACACCCCCTGGGGTATTTAGTAATACCCCGACCAGGAATCAAACCAGCAACCTCTCAGTGCAGGGATTGATGCCCAACCAACTAGGCCACACTGGCTGGCCAGGGCTGGAAATTTTTTGATTGTCAAAGCTGGAGGGGTTCTACTAGAATTTAGAGTGTAGAAGCCAGGAGTGCTGCTAAACATCTTACAGTGCACAGGGCAGCCCCCCTCAACAATTACCTAACCCACATGTCAATAGTGCCAAGGTTGAGAACTCTGCTGTAGAACCCCCTGGCTCACCTCCTTCTGCGCTGGACAGCCAGGGGACAATTCTCTTGTGGTATAACTTAAGGAATTTAAGATAATTCCTAAATTCTCTCAAACTTAGGAAACAAAACCTATATGCGACTGGAAGCCCCGAAGCACAGAGAAATATTGCGTGAATCTGCTGACTGGGAAATAAGAGTTAGCCAAATTTATTATTTTGGGACCATTATGTCGGCTAAGTCCTACATTTGACCTCTCTCTAAGGAGAAAAATTTGGACTAGTTGCTATCAATTCCTCCCAACATAATTTTAGAAAGAAGATTGTCGCCTCACTGAAATCAAGAAGTAAATACCTGGAAACAAACGTTGCTGTAGAACCTCCTTAAATCCCAGGACCTTCATGGGATATGATGGGCTTCTTAGTGCAGATGAAGCTGGTGAAATCAGGGGAAGGCTGTGTTCTGGGGCCAAACTGGAGGGAGCTAAACAAATAAATACATGGAGAGTTATTTCAGATGAAAAAGAAATTAATTGTCCTTCCTCCTGTTGACATGGGATTTGCATGGTGTCTGAGCTGCTCTCACACTTTCTATGCCTCAAACAGTTCACAGATGTTAGAAAAGGAAGTCTGCGGACTTCTACAGGGCAAGTCATTTCACCTCTCTTTCTCATGCCAGGGTGAGGCGATCCCTAAGGTTCCTTCCAACTCTAATATTCTGATTCCAGGTCATTTCTAAGAAGAAAAGTCTTCTAGTTGGGGTGGGATCAGAAGAAATTAAGCACAATAGGTATATCTCTAATATTCTGATTCCAGGTCATTTCTAAGAAGAAAAGTCTTCTAGTTGGGGTGGGATCAGAAGAAATTAAGCACAATAGATATATTTTTATATTGTTACAGATGTTTAAGTCCCCATACAAGGTTTAGATGGAATAGAAAGTGGCAGGATCTCTAGTTTGGGGTGTGTGTGTGTAAACTCAAACAAATTTAGGACAAGAGAAAGAATAATCCAATCAAATCAATCAGGTCTCAATCTAAGGTTCTTTTATCAAAGTTAGAATATATTAACCATGAAGGCAAACTGATAAGCTTCATTCAGGCTATAAGTTCTCTATAAGTTCTCTGCAGAGCTGATTCTGAGCAAAACTGTAAGGGAAGTGAAACCACTAAGAGTCCTCCTCCCCCACCCCCATCTCCTTTTGCACCAGCTTTATCCCACTTGGTGGTGCCCCAAGCTCAGTGATGGAAGGTATCAGCTCCTCATGTTACTGAAACAATTCAAAATTGTCAACAAGCTCCCCTTGCAAGAATTAGTGAAAGGTCATTCTTAAACAATGTTTCTCTGAAAGATCATCTTTGGAGTGAGACTACTGATGAATGTTTTTCACTAGGAATATCAACCTTCAAAAGTTTTTCAACAGGCCCTATACAGTGCATAAAAAGGAACTGTCACTAATTCATGGCTGATGATAAAACTTTCCCAAAGTAGACTAAAATCCAAGCATTTCTTGACCTCAAAGAGTTCATATTCTGTGTCTTTGGAACTAAAAATATGGGGGGGGGGGGGAGCATGTAATAAGAGAATTCTTTTTTACTGTGTATTTCCCCCATTTATTTAGATTCTTGAATATTGAATATCTTTCCATAAAGCATTTTTATTTCTTCCATAAAGGTCATGTATATCTTTCTTAGTGGGAGAATAATTTAAAGCAAAACAATTTTCAGTTCTTTAAGTAAAATATCTGACCAAGCACCCACGGAAGGCAGAGAAGTTCCCCGCTGCTGCCTGAATAGAGACATCTCTTGTGCTTTACCTGGTTGAATATCCAGCATCATGTCAATCCAGTGCTCTGCCGTCAGCTTTGTGACAAAATTGTTCCTCATGATCCATGAATCTGGGGCTTCTGTGAATACTACACAGCAGAAGGGCTCCACTTGAACCACACAGACATAACCATACAGGGCATCTTTGTGGTATACATCCAAGATTTTGGTAGTGAAATTCACCTTTGGCTTTTCATGGCAGAAGTGGAATGTAGGCAATTTTTCTATGCAGTTTTCTATTTCTTTTTTTAATAAGTCAGGGTTCACTTTTTCTTTCTTACATCCAAACACTTCCTTGCTCTTATCATCCACCCCAATAATCAGGTATCCCCCATAGGTGTTGGCAAAGGCAGAAATGTAATGAGGCAGCATTTCTCTAATCCTAGGGACAATCTTTTTGGTGGTGAACCTTTTTAACTCAACATGTGTTGACTCAGTAAAGTTGAGTTTCTCTTTATACATGAGTTTGTCCTTTTTAAGAAATTCTGAGGCAAACCTCCTCATATCCTCCTCTTCCTGAATGCTTCCATCAAGAACTTTCCAAGGCTGCAGCTCCTTCACCCTCCGTCTTCCTCTTTGGGCTCTAGACTGCTTCTGTCTGAGGAGTTCCAGGGCACTGCTAGCACTCAGGTTTATAGCGGAAGTCCCATCTCTCTGATATAAATTGGAACGCAAGCTACAAATCCTTAGGGGGAGGCTGAAAACGTCTGGACTCCACGACTTCACAAAAATCAGGAGATTGTGCCCCTGCTGCATGTAGTCAAGGTATTTCTGTGACCCTGAAGGAAGGAGTTTTTGAAAAGAAGTTTCCAGATCCTGTCCCAGCCCATGGCACCGGTAACTGTAGGTTTTATCGTTAATCTTTGCCTTGATGACACCCCCTCCAGAATTTAACAGTGCACAAGTGGCTTGGATGATTTTAGAATTCTCAGTTCTTTTCAAATGGTTATTGGTCATCTTCTTCCTGTTCTCTTCTCCAAAAGTCACTGTGCCCACATCTACAATTATCTCAGGATAGAGCCTTTCTGTGTTGGTCTGGAGACTTTCCATCTCAGCAGCTCCTCTGTGCTCAAAACAATAATAGAAAGGGGTTCCAGTACATAAGCAGTACAGAAATGTTGTTTCTATATTAACAAGAATTCCAAAGATTACAGTATTTTCTTCAAAGGTATAAGTTATTGAACATACATTTCAACACGGAAATAATATTTGATACCACTGTTTTCTAACAACTACACCAAGATTCTTAGCCTTTCCAGCATGAATGGGTGTAAAGGTAAACGCTTAATATTTTGCCATAATGGAAAACTTAAAATATTTTTTCTTTATTGATTTTAGAGAGAGAGAAAAGGAGAGAGAAAGAGAGACAGAAACATTGATGAGAGAGAACATTGCTCAGCTGCCTCCTACATGCCTCTCACTGGGAATCAGGCCCACAACCTGGGCATGTGCCCTGACCGGAAATTGAACCGGCGACCTCTTGGTGTATGGGTCAATGCTCAATCACTGAGCCACACTGGCCTGGCTGGAAAACTTATAGTACTGAAATTTTTAAATTTAAAATCAGGAAGTACCATCATATTATAAAAGTCATGGGTTGAAAGAAAAAAGGCATGGATTGGCACAGGAGCCAAAGTAAGTTATTAGAGAATATGCAGAATTAGAGGTTGAAGTCAGAAGATGCTCCTATTTATCATTCAAAGTTGAAAGAAAGGGGACAATAGAGAACTAAGGGAGTATAGTTTGATAGTATATGTAATGCAGATATCTTGCTATAAAAACAAGCAAAAACTTGGTATTCTTTATGTGCTCTTTTTTTAAAAAAGCTTTTGTGATTGTGTTTTTTAAAAAAATATTTTTATTAATTTTTAGAGAGGGAGAAAGGAAGACAGAGAGAGATAAAAACATTGATAAGGGTCCTGGCCGGTTTGGCTCAGCAGTTGCATTGGCCTGCAGACCAGAGAGTCCCGGGTTCGGTTCCCACTAGGGGCACGTACAAAAAAAAAAACATTGATGAGAGAGAAACAATGATTGGCTGCCTCCCGCACGCTCCACGCTGAGGATCAAGCCCGAAACCTGGGCATGTGCCCTGACCGGGAATAGAACCACCAACCTCTTGGTGCATGGGTCAACGCTCAACCACTGAGCCAAACCAGCTGGGATCTTTTGTACATTTTTAAAAGCTTTATTCTACCCCTGAAAGACTGTCCATTGATATCAAATGCAGAATTCTTTTTATCTCTTCAAACATTATTCTGAAAGTACATTTCTTCATACACAGTGTGATTCAGACATTTTCCTCTCCTCCTAATAATTCTGCCCTGTGCTATGGGAACCTCGGGAACTTAGAACATGAGTCTTCGGGACACAGTTATTAAACTTTGGTTAACCTCCTTTTGCTTCACAGAGCAGAGAATAGCCATCTAAATAGAAATTAGGACTCTGAAGCAAGTATTTCAGACATGGCTCCCTTAGCTTTTGTTAACTGCAAAATAAAATGTTTATCAGCCCAAACCAACATTCTTCCTCTAGAAGAAAAGAACCTATTTCTTCTGTGTAATCTTTGCAAAGCAGAGGACTCATGGGTGTTGTTTACACCCACCAAAAGAAGAGAAAAACAGGTATTTGACAAGGCACATACCCTCTTCCGCCATAGTTTGCTCATGGTTGCTTTTTCACTTCTGCCAAGTAAGCCAGAATCAACATGATGAAAAACTTTTTTTCATATGTGAGCATTTCTATAGGTAAATGTAAATGCCTGGCTCTTTAGAGAAACTTCTGATTAGCACTCTATTCATGTCATAGCATCAAAGAAGTGTTAGAAGGGACTTTAAAGATCGTCAGGTCCAACCACCCATCTGATTCTTAAGTCTTCTTTATAATATTCCCAACTCCCGCCCTGGCCAATTTGGCTCAGGGGTTAGAGAGTCGGCCTGCGGTCCAGAGAGACCCGGGTTCAGTTCCCGCTAAGGGCATATACCTCGGTTGCAGTTTGTTGTGCAAGTGGCAGCCACTCAATGTGTCCCTTTCATGTCCATGTTTCTCTCCCCCCCCCCCCACTCTATCTGAACAAAAAATAGAAAAATGTCCTCAGGTGAGGATTAAAAAAAAAAATTCCCAACTCCCAACAAATTGCTTTCCAGCAACTGCTTGACACCTCCACTGACAAGTAACTATTTACCTATCAAATTTAGTCCCCTTTATTTCTGACAGCTGTGTTAGAAAGGGCTTCCCCACATTCAGCTGTAATTTGTCTCCCTATAATTTCCACCTACTTGGATTCACAGGACAAATCTAATTGCTTTTGAACTAGCACACTGTCATGACTCCCAAGTCTCACTGATGTTACTTAAATGCTGATAACAACTGTGATAAACACATGGTTTCTGAGATTCTAGTTCCAAGTGAATATCCTGTCCACTTTCCCCAAAATTTCTCACTCATTTTCTTTTACAAGTTTCTCTTTAACTACTATTTTACCAAGTCCTTTGTACCCTCAGACATAAACTGCTCCTCAGATGAGATGGATAAGGTTTTTAAATTTTTTAAAAAAATTATTACCTGATACTCTTGCTTCTCCTCTTGTTGTTTCAGTTCCACATCTGGCTTTGGTCTGAAGGTTCACTTTCTGTCACTGTGCCTGTGGCCCTTTGATATCATCCTGGGAGGAGCAGGAACTCAGCCAGACTCCTTCAGTCTTCATAACATTGACCCACTGAGGAAGGCTGATAAGGACTCAAGAAAAGCCTATGACATGGCAGATTAGCAGGTTGGGTTTTGACTTCTGGGAATGAATTACGTAGTAACGGGAAGATTCAGGGGTTTTAAAGTGAGGGACTAGCCCTGGCCAGTTTGGCTCAGCGGTTAGAGCGTCGGCCTGCGGTCAGGAGAGACCCGGGTTCGGTTCCCGCTAAGGGCACGTACCTCGGTTGCAGTTTGTCCCCGGCCCTGGTCGGTCGTGCGGGTGGCAGCCACTCGATGTGTTCCTTTCACATCGATGTTTCTCTCTCTCTCTCTCTCTCTGTTCTTCTCTCTCCCTCCCACTCTACCTGAACAAAAAATAGAAAAATGTCCTCAGGTGAAGATTAAATAAATAAATAAATAAATAAATAATATAAATAAAGTGAGGGACTAAAGCTAAACTGCCCACCTATAAGGGACTGGGTGTCATTTCCATACAGCATATAAGCACCTCCTGTCCTGGTTAATTTCATTTTAAAGCTCTACATTCATTTTAAATTAGGCTGCTGTACACATCCATTTTGAACAATATTAACCTATTTCATTACCTTCCAAATAGCTTGTTCTTTTATTCTTTTCTTCCTATTCTTCCTTTTTGTTGGGCACAAGACCTAGTCTAGAAAAATGCTCATTGATAAAGTTGGCTATCTCTGAGTGAGAGGACTATAGATGGTTTTCATTTAATTTCCTTTCCTTTAAAAAAAAAACAACTCTGTATTTTCTAAATGGTCTACAATGAACATGAGTTGTTTTATAATAAAAATAAATAAATAAACAGATAAGAAACAGTTATCTCATTTGGAAATGCTGGTTAAATTCAATAAGGCTTCTTGTAATAGGCTATATAATAGCCACCAATTATTATTATTATTAACCTGTAAATGTTACCTTATGAGGAAAAGGGGTCTTTGCGGATGTGAGTAAGTAAGAATTTTGGATGGGGAGATTATCCTGATTTATCTGGGTGGGCCCTAAATCCAATTACAAGTGTTCTCATAAGAGAGAGATAAAGAGAGATTTGATACACTCAAAAGAGGAGGAGGCAGTGTGTGGCCTATAGAGACAGAGATTGGGGTCTGTGGCCCCAAGTGAAGAAATGCGGCAGCTACTGGAAGCTGGAAGAGGCAGGAGCGGATTCTCCCCTACAGCTCTGCACCCCTACCCCAGGGAGCACAGCCTTTCAGACACCTTGATTTCTGCCCAATAAAACTGGTGTCAAACTTATAGTTGTGAGAAAATAAATTTGTTTTGTAAGTAACCAAGTTTGTGGTAATTTGTTATAGTGGCCACAGGAAACTAATATACTCATCTCCCTCTAAATCGAACCATCAGCCCTTGTGGTTTGCTCAGCGGTTAGAGCACCAGCCCTCTGACAGAAGGGTTGCAGGTTTGATTCCCAGTCAAAGACATGTACCTGGGTTGCAGATTCAATCCAAAGCCCTGGTCAGTCGTGTGGGAGTCAACCAATCAATGTGTTTCTCTCACATCTATGTTTCTCTCTCTCCCTCCCTCCCTCTCTTCCACTCTATCTAAAAATCAATGGAAAAATATCCTTGGGTGAGGATTAACTAATTGACTAACTAACTAACTAACTAACTAACTAAATAACTAAATAAATAAATAAATCGAGCCATCAAACAATTCCATTTCCACTTCAATTTGTTTATGATGAAATGACATTCTTATATAAGTTTCTGTACAACCCTAGTTTTTTTTGTTTTGTTTTTTAATTATTAATTGAGGTTACTATTCCTATGCAGTTCTGCTTTGCTGGCATGACCCTTTGTACAAGTTGTATGGATAGAGTTTCAGGACAGGAGGCAGAATGTAATGTATATAATAGCACAGTAACACCATAAACTCCAAAAGCCTGTTCCCAGCTTCAACTTTAACCTATTTTCATTAACTTCACTTCAAAATTCCATCTCCCTTTTAGTTCTACCACTGACCTTAATTCCCAGCCTCATTCTCACATTTAAATCCCTCTGATATTACTTACTTGTAGAAAGATAAAAATAACCATCACTTACTGGACATATGCATTCGGGTACAAGAAACCGAGCTGGGAGCTTTTAACTACCAAGAAACTGAGATTGCATGGCCAGTAAGTGGAAGAGCTGGAGTTCAAAGCCAGGTTTGTCTAATACAAATGTTTCTACTCCTTCCATTGCCTTTCAAGTTTGGGATTCTGCCTTTCAAGTTTTGGAGCCTTCAAAATCAGAATTCTACCTAAGTATCTCCCCTTTTTCTTCTCGGTCAATGGGAAGAACATTATCTGGGCAGGGGAACCAGAAACCAGATTGTTGATTCCTTCTTATTCTTCTTCAATGCGCTGTAAGGGACCAAATCAGGAGAAGGAGGGATGATGTGAAAGATGAGCAAAGAGAGTTTCTCTTCCTTCTTCTAAGTTCTTTGGTTAAGTTCCCTGGCTATGAATAGTTAGGTTATCACATCAGAGAAAATCTCTCATCTGGTTCTGATACCTCAAAGCAAATGTCCATGATACAAAGTGATTTGAAGTCATAGCTAGGGCAGTACTTGTTCCTGGGTTTTGGGGAAGTAATCTGGCCATTCTGGTGACAATTGGCTAGAACTGGAGACCCAATTTATTTGAGAATTTATTCACTAAGAATTGCAATTTATCAGAAGACATAGTTAAAGCATAGCCTTTGTGCACACTAGACACAAACTGACAAATACCAACCTCCATCTCACCCTCAATTCATTCACAGAGACCATTAGAAGACCATAGAGAACATAGGGACCAAGAGCAACAATGCTAGTTCTACCACACCACACTACCTGACTCTGAATATCTCCTTTTCTTTTTTTCTTTATTGACATTATTTATTTTTAAATTTTTTTATCCTCACCCGAGGACATTTTTGCATTTATCTTCAGATAGAATGGGGGTGGGGGAGAGAAACATCAATATGAGAGAGACACATCGAGTGGTTGCCACCCACACCACCTCAACCGGGGCTGGGGACAAACTACAACAGAGGTACATGCCCTTAGCGGGAACTGAACCCGAGACTCTTCAGTGCGCAGGCTGATGCTCTAACTGCTGAGCCAAACTGGCCAGGGCTTCTTTATTGATTTTAGAGAGAGGAAGGGAGAGGGAGAGAGAGATAGAAACATAAATGATGAGAGAACATTGATTGGCCACCTTCTGCATGTCCCCCACTGGGGATTTGGCCCACAACCAGGCATGTGCCCTGACCGGGAATCAAACCAGCGACCTCTTGGTGCATGGGTCGAAGCTCAACCACTGAGCCACACTGGCTGCACATGGATGTCTCCTAACTTTCATACATTCTTTCTTTTGAGCACCTAGGGTGTTGAAATCTTAGCTCTGGCACTTTCTGGATCTGAGGCTTAATTAAATTAATATAAGTCTCAGATTCCTTCTGTGTAAATTGGAGATGATAATAGTGCCTTTTTCATATAGTTCTTGTGAGAATGATGTGAGATGATGTACATAAAGAGTTTAGTATGGTGCCTGGCATATAATGTCAGCTTTTCATTCAATAACCAATTACTTAGCACTTACAGTGTTCCAAACGTGGTGCTGTGCTCTGGGGCTACATGTCAAAATAAAAACTGCCACTTAGCCCTGGCTGGTGTAGCTTGGTTGATAGAAGCATCATCCTAGGCACTGAAAGTTTGTGGGTTCAATACCAAGTCAGGGCACATGCCTAGTTGTGGGTTCAATCCCCCACTGGGGCATGTGTGGAAAGACAACCGATTAATGTTTCTCTCTTCCATCAATGTTCCTCCTTCTCTCTCTCCCTTTATCTCTCTCTAAAAATCAATAATAAGCATGTCCTCAGTTGAAGATTAAAGAAACAACCAAACAAAAATACCCTGCCAGATAATTCAACCTTTTCTTTTTCATATACATGAATGATCATAGAAACTTTATTGGTATTGGGGATGGGGGGGGGGGAGAAAAGGAAAGGAACAACCCATATATTCATCAACATAAACAGTATTCCATGAGGTAAAAAAACAAAACAAACAAAAAACCCGCAGCAGCCACGGTGATGATAAGCAAAATGTTCCTATAGGGGCTCCCTTAGCTATTTATTAAACTTCACACCAGATTTGCAAGTGGGGAGAGAAGCAACTCTCAGAAGATCATTTTTGAATGTCCACACTGAGACATGCAGCTTGCCTACCTCATGGCACCTGCACTTTTTTTTCAATTAAAAAAATATATTTTCAATTACAATTTACACTCAAAACTATTGTGTATTAGTTTCAGGTGTACAGCATAGTGTTTAGACAATCATACTTTACAAAGCATTCCCACTGGTATTTCCAGTACCCACCTGGCACCACACATAGTTATTACACTATTATTGACTATTTTTCCTATGCTGTACTTTACATTGCCATGACTATTTTGTAACTATTAATCTGTACTTCTCAATCCCTTCACCTTTATCACCAGCCCCCCAATCTTCCTGTCCTCTGCCAATCATCAATCTGTTCTCTGTATCTATTAGTTTGTTTCTGTTTTATTTTTTTGTTTAGATTGTTCTTTAGATTGCACATATAAGTAAAATTATATGGTATTTCTCTTTCTCTGACTGACTTATTTCACTTAGCATAATACCCTCTAGGATCCATCCATGCTGTCACAAATGGTAAGATTTAATTCTTTTTTATAAAGGCTGTTTACTATTCATATTTTTTGTCTTTTTTACTTCTTCTTCTTAAAGAAGACCCTTTACCTCAGAAGAGGGGGTAGGGAGTGGAAGAGATAAACCACAGAATTTAAACAAACAAACAAACAAAAAATATCTGCCCTGGCCGGTTTGGCTCAGCGGTTAGAGCATCAGCCTGCGGTCCTGAGAGACCCGGGTTCGGTTCCTGCTAAGGGCATGTACCTCGGTTGCAGTTTGTCCCCGGCCCTGGTCGGTTGTGCGGGTGGCAGCCACTCGATGTGTCCCTTTCACATCGATGTTTCTCTCTCTC